CACTGAATTAAAAAATACCGGTGAACACTAGTATCAAATGCAAGATCCCTTCAATTTCAAACTGATGCTTGCAACTCCCCTGCCTATTAGAGAAGCGTCACCAGCACCAGAGACATTAATGTTACAGACAGTCCAACTGGAAGAAATCAGCTTCAAACATGCCTGGATTTTATTCATCACAGCAACAGAAGTACAATGATAGCTTACAAAACTTTCTGTCAGTTAACGCTGTTAAAAGAGGATTATTACTGTTGTTAGCTGTCACAGCAATGGACCAAACAAGGAGTCTTACCAAGAAACCTCTTGTGTAGGCTCACAGAAAGTTTTGTTCATAGCTGTTAAAAAGCAAAAACACTCGTCCAACGCTGTCTGAAGCAATCAGGGAAGGTAGACTCACCATCTGTCTGCAGCCTGAAACAGCTACAGCGAGTTGTTCTGTCAAATCAAAAGAAAAACACGCTGCAAAGTTGATCATTAAATCCAAAGAGTGGGGCTGCATTTATAAATGGAAGTAAATCATCCCACCTGCTAGCTACAAAACCAAAATCTCGCTTTTCTCAGATGACTGGTAGCCCTGGTAACCTTTCTATGTGACTATATGGGGCCTGGCTGCGATACAGTTCATTTTCTTCATAGCAGCTCTATGATGCTGTGCTTTAGATTTGAGACCAAAACAATCCTGCTAACACACCAGTGTGCTAGTTAATGCTGAGCAGTGTTTGCACAGCACCAGGGCCTTCTCCCTTGCTCACACTCCTCCCGCAGCGAATAGACTGGAGAATGCACAAGAGGCTGGGAGGTGGCACAACCAGGCAGATAAGAGGTATCCCATGTCATATAACCTCATGCTCAGCAATACAAAGGGCAAACGGGGTTTTCAGTTAGGTTTGCCATCTATTGCTTGGGAACTGGCTGGGCCCTGGTTTACCCGTGGGAGGGGGTGCATGACTGCCTCTGCATCACTTGTTTTCTTTTGCTCTTCTTCACTTATTACAGTTTTTATCTCAACTCCAAGTTCTCTTGCTTTTACTCTCCAATTCCTCTTCCCCCATCCCACTGGGGGCGAGCAGGGAGTAAGTGAGAGGCTGCGTGGTTGTCAGCTGCCCACTGGGCTTAACCCACAACAGTACGGTATCAGCCCTTCACACAACATCTGAGGCAGCAAACTTAGTCTGTGACTGCATTACCCACAGATGCTAACAAAGAAATATGAAACAAACACCACTGTGCCGACCTGTTGAAATGTTACCTAGCTAGCAATGATTATGACCTGCTATCAATGCTTTTGGTCAAATAAAAAACTAGGATAATTTCTTGGTGTGTCATTATGAGTCTCATTCGTGAAGAGAGCTGTGCTTCCTGCCTCAGTACAAAACACACCCAGAATGTAACTGCCACCATGGATACAGCACTGTATTCGGAGCAATTCTTTAAAGACGACATGTACTAACACCGCATCAGACTGAAGCTCCTTTCCCCTCAGTCAGTAAGAACTAGTAACAGGCTTCCTAAATACGCCTCTCACTAACCAGAATATATCAAGCAGTAAATAGAATGGTGCCTCGTATTTAATTTATTTTAAGGGGAAAGAAAATATTAGAATAAAGAGAGCACACAGCCCCAGTAGGAACTGTTCTGCCACAAGCACCAAGGGATGCTCATTATTCTGACCGGTGATCCATAGAGCTGAGCATTACGAAGATCACCTTCTGAATTAGAGGCTGTGTTTAGAGGCTCCACAGGCCTCCTATTTCAGAAAAAGGCTTCTGAGAAGTACATGAGTATTTTACTTGCATCACTAGAGTAACCTGCACTGGAAACCATGCACACAGGGCAATACAATCATTTATCTACTGCTCATGGAATTTATAGAAAAATCATTGCGTACTCTCTTACAGAGAAAAAACGAGATGTTCCTCTTTCCTCCTCCCCTCATCTAATACCTCCACAAACCAGGTTATGCAGTCTCCTAGCCAACTGATTAAGTAAGAAACATCTTTGTAAACTGGCAGAATTGACAACTAGTTCAAAAAGTAAGAACTGTTTGATGTGAGCCTCCCATTTCCTTGGGTTTGGGTGGAGAATAACGAGTACAGGAGAAAGATAACAACACTGACACTTCGGAACACTTTTTTTTTTTTTTGGTACCAAGAAGTCCACAGAATAAAAATAAGCTATCACCAAAGTTTTTAAAAAGTCTGTTCTGCACATAGTTATTTTAAAATATAAAGAAATAAGCTCTGTGTCTTATACAGGGATGCAAGGAAAGAGATCCCATTTTATCCTCTGGCTGCTGCCCTTATTTCCTTATTTACCCTATCATCAATTTTCAACTAGCAAGTGCTCTTGTAAGGCTATTGCTTTGGAATCTTTACTGATGAACCTGGACCTGCCATAGCAAGAAAAAAAAGACCACTAAAATGGTCTGAATTGATTTATGAAAGGAAATCTGCACTTTGGCTCCAGTTACTCCTGTCGCTCCCTCAGTTCAACTTGGGAACACCATCAGAAAACCAGCCTAAAATATGCTACAGAAAAAGGAATGGATAATTTAAGAGAAAGCATAAGAAATT